TGTTACAATAGAAAACAGTTATTTTACATTTTATTTTACATGTCATAGTACATTAAGATTTTATTAGTTTCCCTAGATTTTGCACAAATTTATAATTTACCAGGTTTTCCCATGATCGTAGGAACTATGATCTATAGAAATATGCCTTTATGAATTTTTTTTTTGTAGTGGGGCCAAACCAAGGGGTGATATTGAGAAGTCTCATACCCATACGGAGAGTGAGCGGTCCTTACTGCCCACAGCACAGCAGCAGTATGGGCAGCTGGGTTTGGGAGTACTGCCGTTCTTCTGTTTCTTCTTAAAGATCTTAGGATTGAACTTCTGCAAAGAGATGGAGAGGAACTCATAAACCACTCGATAAGAGACAAGAATCAACTTCTAGTGCTCAGCCAATTTGAAAAATCATGATTTCATCGAAACAAAAGGAAAACACTACAGTACAAACTACGATGGAGATTTCAATGCATGCTTTTCTGTGGAATATTACAGATTTGAACCGACACTAACCACCACAGTAACAGCTTTTCGATGACCCACAAAGTCCATGTTGGTTTTCCAGCCATCGCGTTCGATGATCTGAGCTGTGGGCCCAGAATTATTCATGGCATGAGCTGAAACCAGGTACTGACCATCTGGAGACCAGCTCAGCCTCAGGACGTGTGTGGTGCCGCCACACTGAATCGAAACAAGAGAGAAGGAAAAAAGAGAGAATACAGGGTCACACGCATGTAAACAACTTAAAGAAGAAAAAAAACTATGTCATTCTGTCAAGTGGTATACGGATTTAAAAATAAATTTTTTTGCATCACATCCTTATTTTTAAACTTTAATATTCAAATATATTAAAATATGAATATTACTCTAATAGATTTGTAAAAATCGTTATTAGTTAAACTAAACATTTTAAATGTGTGACAAAACTAAATGTTTTACTAAATAATTTTGACATGTTTGTGTTTAACTTATAAACATCTCTTTTTTTTAATTTTTAATCATCCATTCATCGTGTGTGCGTGAAGGGAGAAATGAAAAGACAGCGATACACAGAGCGGGTCAGTTTTACTCACGCAGCTCTCTTCCACACCATGACCAGTTTGTCGTCTCCTCCTGACGCCAGGTATAAGCCATTATTTGACCAGCGCACACAATTCACACATGCTGAAATGTACAAAGTTACATAAAACATTTAATTAGATGCTGAATATTCATCAGTGTCACACATTCCGTCTCCCATTCTGTCAGTGCAGTTCACATCCAAAGGAGTTTAAAATACATTTAAGTGACAAAACATAATCTAGACACCATCTCTGAATTGTTCTTTTGATTGTTGGGAGCAAAATATGTGGTATAAATGCAACAAAATCGAGTCTTAAAGGTCCCATGACATGCTGCTTTTTGGATGCTTTTATATAGGCCTAAGTGGTCCCTAGTACTGTATCTGAAGTCTCTTTCCCGAAATTCAGCCTTGGTGCAGAATTTCAGCCACTACGAGCCAGTCCCACAATGAGCTTTCCTTAGGATGTGCCATTTCTGTGGCTGTAGCTTTAAATGCTAATGAGGAGGAGAGAGGCGGGGCAACTGCCATGCTTCGCTCATTTGCAAGCCATGATGTCTCTCGAGGAAAAAAAAATATTGTGCTCGCATGGTAGTAGCTCATTTTCTCATGGGCGGGCCAAATTCTCTGGGCGGGCAAAGCAGAGAAAGGGGAGGTAACCTTTCCCCGTATGACGACATAAAGGGAAGATTCCAGATTGGGCCATCTGAGCTTTCATTTTCTCAAAGGCGAAGCAGGATACCCAGGGCTCGGTTTACACCTATCGCCATTTCTAGCCACTGGGGGACCGTAGGCATGCTAGGGGAACTCATATTAATGTTAAAAAACCTCATAAAGTGACATTTTCATGCCATGGGACCTTTAAGAGAACAATAATCCACAACATTTGTCTTTATTCATATATTTTAAATCTTGAATATAGAGTTAAAAAAATCAAGTATCAAGTAACACCTAAGTGATTGTCCATCTGACAAAGCAATTTGGGAATATTCGCGTTCTTCTCATCCTCCTCCCGAAGAACCGGGGCCATATTCCAAATGACCACTTTCCCAGAGTCCTCACCTGTCAACCAACATTGAAAATATTAGCTCCCAACGACACATTTGTCGCTAAATTAGGATGGAAATAAATACCTTCTACAAACTAAGCTTCATCTGAAAGCTAAACTAGACTCCGCAAAAGAATGACAGATGTTAGAGGGTTTAGATTTTCACCTTGGCCACCTGTAGCAAACTTAGTTCCATCTGGATGGATATCAACTGAGAATATTGGTTTACCTGAAAACAAAAACACACTTATAACACAGTTTGAAAACACATCCCTAACATTGTCAAAAAACATATGCAATAATAGCAAACAACAAATGTATACAATACATAAAATGCACGATTCCAAAGCAGGTTAAATGAAATGCAAATAAGGCCACATTAGCATATAGCATACATAAAGATAAGTTCCATTTAACCTATTAATTATTGCCAGATCATCTCTCAAATAACACAATTGACTCATCGACCCATGTCAGAGGTCTGCCTGTCTTTTGCAACTTCAAAATGGGTGGTGTGCACATCATATATGGGTGGCTTCCTAAAAACCAGCCAAGCTAAAAAAAAATAAATAAAAATAAACAGCCGGTTACTATGATTAGTATCGCGCTAAAACGTGCAGAAGAGTATCCGATCGTAAGCACAGACCTGCAGAAGAGACCCGATCCGTCTCTCTACATAACAAAAGCGCAAGTTGAAGCCCCGGATTCCTGCACAAACACACACACGCGCGCAGACACAGAGAGAGTCGGGCTGCTGCTCTCACCATTGTGATTGACCCAACTCGGCTTCAAGAGCTTCATCTTCACGCGGATCAATTATTAAACCGCCGTTTGCAACCCGCGATCTCTCCCTCTGCGCTCCCAAGGAGACTCTTTTCCAGCGTCCGTCCGCCCGCCTGCCCGGCCGTTTAAGTGCTGCGGCTCATCCGTTACTTTGTTGCTCAGTTGAACTCCATGTCTGTCTCTCTTTATTTCTCCCTCTCTCTCATCACTCTGTGAGCGTGAAGCAGCAGCAACTGAAGTCACGCCGGAAGTTCGCCGTCTTCTTCGAAGTTCCCTTGGAAACAAAGAATCAGCTTGTGTGTTCCTTATTTACATGAATTCACTTGGCAGAAGCGGAATCCAAAGGGATTTAAAAACGAGGAAATCACATACAAAAGCGACTAAATAATAGCAGCGCTACATTACATAATTTCAGAAGTATACCACAGTAAGGCTGAGGTCAATAACAATAAAGAACCACGATATTAGCACGTTCTGGACATGTAGCATAGTTATGGTATTGGTATGAAATAACATAATCGATGCTATAACTGGTGACAAAATTGAAAGCTGGCTTTTTTTTTAATAGACGCAGGTTCTATCTATCTATCTATCTATCTATCTATCTATCTATCTATCTATCTATCTATCTATCTATCTATCTATCTATCTATCTATCTATCCCCATTCCCCCTCTGTATGTTTCAGGCTGCTAATGGAGGAGGTGCGTTCAGCGATTACTCCTCCTCTGTTCCCTCCACCCCCAGCATAAGCCAGAGGGAGATGCGCATCGAGACGGTGGCCGCCTCCAACACTCCCACGCCCATCCGCAAGCAGTCCAAACGGCGCTCCAACATCTTCACAGTAAGTATGAGGCAGCTAATGCAGAGCACCACGCACTCCCACTACTGAGAGTGCTGGACTTCCCCTGACTGCAGATCTCCCAGCAGCCCCTGCTGCTTTCAGACGGCCAGTGAGCTAGAGAGAAGCTGTTTCTAGGTCTGCAGTGAGTGGATCTGCCCTTAGGTCTCATCACCCCCTTCCCCTCAAACCCAGGGCAGTGGAGGGCAAAGCCAGAGAGCGTAATGCCATCTCTGACCACAAGAGGGAGGTACGGAGCTAAGTGTAACCGAATCCCTCCTGCCTCTGCTACCACAGAAGCGCATGACCACATGCTTTTTATAGCTACATATTACAGTAAACGCAGGGAGGCAAACATTAAAATGACGAGAGATAAAGGGATTTAAAAACGAGGAAATCACATAGAAAAGCGACTAAATAATAGCAGCGCTACATTACATAATTTCAGAAGTATACCACAGTAAGGCTGAGGTCAATAACAATAAAGAACCACGATATTAGCACGTTCTGGACATGTAGCATAGTTATGGTATTGGTATGAAATAACATAATAGATGCTATAACTGGTGACAAAATTGAAAGCTGGCTTTTTTTTTAATAGACGCAGGTTCTATCTATCTATCTATCTATCTATCTATCTATCTATCTATCTATCTATCTATCTATCTATCTATCTATCTATCTATCTATCTATCTATCTATCTATCTATCATCTATCTATCTATCTATCTATCTATCTATCTACATTGTTCCGTTTTGATATCTGCAGTTTACAGATTTAGCACATTTTATTCGAAATTATTATAAAAAAAATAAAACATTACTTTTTGTTTATAGAGGAAAACGTTTGCCAAATTATAAACAAGGATTAACATTTTCATTAAAGTCGGTCAAATTAATTGCCATGTCAAATACGCACGTACAGAACTGAGTAATGGTTAGATTACAGAAACCTTTAAAAAAACATATTTTGAGTGGAAAAGCGCAAAATAAAGCTTAAAAAAAAAAGAGTAATGCTTTATAAAACTATTTTACAGCTTCCCACTGGGAGGCGAGCGCACATCTTTTCATAACGGATGTATATAGAAATCGAACTACAAGGAAATGCGGATACAAATCTGCAAAACCCGAAGAGGGCGGAGCTTGATGTGTCATAATGAATGATTTGATCACACAGCGTCCCCTAGAGGACATGAGTGCATTTACCACCAGTCCGAACAGACAGTTGCCATTCTAGCTAGTTTCACTTTCGCAAGCGCAGGCAGGAAAAAGCGAGCCGCAGAAGAAGAACTCACTGTTTGTTGTTGACATTAGCAGGAGGTGACAGAACAGACTGTCCTGTGTGCAGTATGGCTCAAACTTTCAGTCTATGATTTATAAGATCAGCTGACAGGGAGCCATGGGCGCATTAGCTTGTCTTTCTGTGCTGTGCTCGTTGTGGCTTTGCCCGCTGGCGTCCAGCGAACAGGTGGCATTTGTAGAGGCGTTTCTGGAAGACCATCAGCATGTTTTACAGGGTGAGGTGGTCCAGGGGAGTCTGGAGAACGACCCTATGGAAAACCACAGCAAAAACAAACATGATCTCAAAGGAGACCTCATATTAGTAAGTGATCAATGCATGCAAACAGATACTTGATATTGCAAGACATTTTATTTTGTTCTGAATGTATGTTTCTTGCTCTGGCTGTTTAACTGCTTAATAATATAAAACTAAAGGAAAGTAAATGTAATTTTTAAAAAACTAATTTCATTGTTTTTCATTGTGTTTTGTTGTTGTTGTTGTTGCTGTAGCTGTAAAATAAACGATGTATTATTCAATATATTTGCATTTTAACAATTTCCTCATGTGTTGACTGTGACAGCACTGTGATACAAAAAATATGTAATATTATAAATATTGACATATTTTAAATATTATATCAATATTGACTATATAGTGTTAACTTATAGCATAGCTGCTTTTATTTGAATAATCTGCAAAAAAAATTATATAAAAGTATATTCACTTTTATCATTTTTAACATATCTTGTGCTGTGTCAGCAGTGGAACATTAAATATAAAAATACTTAAATTAAACCTAAAGCTCATCTATGCCAATAACCAATATATTACCAGTATACCCCAAAAATATTAAATAATATAGACTTTATATAAAGATATATAGCATTCATTCATATGTGTGTATATAATATATATATATATATCTCTATCATTCATTTCTATGAATAAAGTAAAACAATTTGAGCACAACTGCTTAAAATTATATAAAAATGTATAAACTATAAAACGTTTTTAAATCAAAATGAGAGAAAATGAAATGAAAGAACGTTCTAGTGATTATCTTCTATTTTTGATTGAAGTGGAAAAATTAATATTTTAAAAACTAATATTACATAAAGTGGTGGGACAAATTTGTCAGATGTCTTAAGCATCAGTGTCATGCTCTCTGCAGATAAAAGACGAAGCTATTAAACCCAACAGTGAAAGCAGTGATGGAAAGGATCCGAACCCCTGGATTGGAGTGGTACCTGTCCAGATGGAGGAAGGTACAGTTTCCAGTAACAGCAACCAGGAGTCGTTTGCTGCCTCTGTGGTCAATAAGGTATTCAAAATTGTCATTGTGAAGACTAAAACATGATGATTAGGAAGTTCTGATCAAACTGACAGCTCTGTCCTCCACAGATGAAGCGTGCTCTTGTTTTGGGTGCATCTGCTTTGATTATACTGGCTTTAAACCAGAAAACTGTCCGAGAGGTGAGAGCTTTGCTGTTCTGTTCCATAAACCTTCAGTTGATTTCATAATGGCTATTAGATATGTATAAGAATTTAAAAAAAAGAAAGAAAAGAAAACTGTTCTTCCTCTATAGATGGATCTCTCTCAGGTCCTCTCAAAGCCAATCATTATCATTCAGACATCAGAAAATGTCACTAAGCTCATCGGAGCACTCCTCAGGTAATCCACAGTCAAGAAATTACAGATTTTCTTCTGAATAAACAGAATATACTTTAGGAATGTGTCTTTTTCTACTTTTATTCAATTAGAGGCCTTCATGCAACGGCAAAAATCACTTATAAGTCTTTTCTACAGGACAGTCTGGTAAGATTTTACTGATAATACATTTCTATGTAGCATAGTTTCACGCTTGTTCATTAGTGTGGAAGTGTGGTATTTCTAAATGTTGTGTCAAAGGGTGCCAACATAAGGCAGCAACATAACAAAACATGAAAAAATTAAGGGGCTTCAATACTTTCGCAAGGCACTGTATGTTTCTTAAAGGGATAGTTCACCCAAAAACGAAAATCAAGTTTGGAAGGACATGAGGGTGAGTGGATAATGACAGAATTTTCATTGCTGGGTGAACTATTCCTTTAATACTTCATGTCACTTGTTTAGTAATTAAAGAGCAGTTTCATTAGACAGCAAGGAGAATTTCTCTTCTTTTTAACTTCATTTTTGTTCATCTGTCCAGAAATATCTTCAGCAGCTCTGGAACACTGTTGTTCTGGTGGCCCTGGTCCTCTCCACAGGGGTCATAGTTAATGCACGCTGGCAGTACCAGGACAACCAATTTAATGATGATTTGGAGGTGAACACTGCTTTTGTGACAGATTAAGTCTGAAGTTGGAAACATTTTCAAAAAGTTCATGACACTAATGTGACTAATTGAAGAAAGTAGCCATGTTAACTGGAGACTGGAAGGAGATCCCATCAAAAACATACACTACCGTTCAAAAGGTTTGGGTTAGTAAGATTTGTTTTTCCCCCCAGAAGAAATGAAAGTTTTATTCAAGAAGGATGCTCTAAATTCAAAAGTGACATTAAAGACATGTGTAATGTTACAAAAATGTTCTAGATTTGAATTTTCTGTTCATCAAATAATCCTGGAAAAAAAATGTATCTCTGTTTCCACAAAAATATTACAGCAGCACAACTGTTTTCACAGTGACCAAATCAGCATATTACAATGATTTCTGAAGCATTATGTGGCACTGAAAACTGGAGTAATGGCTGCTGAAAAGTCTACTTTCCCATCACTCTAATAAATTACACTTTAAATATATTAAAATAGAAAAAAAAGAGTTATTTTAAATTGTAATAATATTTCACAATAATACTGTTTTTGATCAAATAAATGCAGTCTTGGTGAGCAGAAGACACAAGCTCTTACTGACCCCAAACTTTTGAGTGGTAGTCTATACACTGTACACAGTTTATAATGTAAATACAATTTGAAATAAACTCTTTGTTTTACAGTCAGACCTAAAGCAAGACATTTTAAGGAGATTATCAGCACTGAAGACGAGGATATACCGGCAACCCAAAGTGAGATGTGACCCAACACAAACTCAACCTGTGGAGACAGATAGTTGTGCAGTTTGTCTGGAGCAGTACAACAACAACCAGGTGACAGATCCTCAGCACATTCTTATTCTTTTGCTCAGTAGAGTTATTATTTTTTCATAAAGAACGACAGTTTAATCACTGCTCTTTTTGGGTGTGTTTTAGTGTTTGAGGGTGTTACCGTGCCTCCATGAATTCCATAGAGATTGCGTGGATCCCTGGCTACTCCTCCAGCAGACCTGTCCTCTCTGCAAACGTAGCGTGCTTGGTGAGAAAGACAGAAATATTGTCATTTGTCAATATTGTCACTTAATCATCTACATATTTTTGCTCCATGCACACTGTCAATCAACACTTGGCCAGCATCACCATTAGTTGCCAAATTTAAACTGAACTCTTCCTTCTCTTGTTCTGTACCTCCCAGGTAATTTTTATTGAGCTGGACCAAGAAGGATTCTGGACTAGGGATTTGTGGAATTGGATTGACTCTTCCGATTCAGACTTTTCATGGCAACTAAACCCCTCATCTGTACTGTAAGGTCAGAATACCACCATGGTAATGATTTTTGACCTCTCCAAAGACTATAAACCTTGTGTTCTTGACTCCAAGATTCTGGACTAGTTCCTGATCTTGGGTCAAACCACTTGAGAAGTTTTTTGAAGGTAGGTCCTTCTACATGGGATCAATTAATTTGCGCACAGTTGACTACTTCAGTTACGTTTGCTGAACCGGCTCAAAAATTCACAGATACACGGATTGTGAAGTCATATACACAGCAAAAAACAAAAGTAATATTTCAGATCTCTTCAAATTAAGGAAGAATCATACACCTAAAAGTCTCAAATTTTTGTTTAAACAAGGGTAGGCATGAAGTTAGGATAAAGTCCTTTAAGAAAATATAAGAAATAGTATTCAAGCACTGCATAAGAAATCTGTCAGTAGAATATAACTCAACATTTTCCTCTAATATGAGACCAGGGCTGGTGCCCAACCTGGCCGTTTCACCAAAAAAAGATGCTGTTCTTGGCTGGTGTAGGTCCTAACCTTGAAGATGTGATCTTGATATCTTTTGAGAACATACAAAATGCTTCTGGCAAGACCTTTAAGCAGAAACATTATCATTACATTTGTTTTTGGAATGGTTGTGTGGTATGGAGCCCCACATGTCATGCAGAAAAAAAAATACTGTGTCCATGATTTATTAATTTATTCTTAATTTTTTTATTTTTAAGTTAATGGCTACAATATCTTATTTTTTCCCCCTGCATGTCAAGTTTGGGGCTCCGTAGTGTAGTGCCATTGTAAGTTCGCCATTGTTTGGCTTTGACGGCTAAATCTCCATACAAAGAGCTGCAAGGATGCCCTGTGCCTTCTTGCTGCACAGAGAGCGACTTTTACTATTATTGTCGCTTTTAAAGATCATTTACAGGGACTATGAGTACATTTACATGCATTTTAGAAGTTCAGTTTCTTTTCATTTTAGTTTTGAATTGTCTTTTTGAAATGTCATGTAAATGCTTTCGTCTGAAATCATGCCAGTCAGGTTTTTGCGTAGTTGGACTAATGAAACTACACTACCATTCAAAAGTTTTTCAATAAGCAATTAATACTTTTATTCAGCAAAGATGCAGTATATTGATCAAAAACAGTAAAAACATTCAGAAGGTTCCAAAAGGTTTCTATTTCATATAAATACTGCCTTTTAAAACTTTCTATTCATAAAAGAATCCTCAAAAAATTTGTCACAGTTTACATTTTAAGCAGCACAAATGTTTTCAAAATTGATTTCTGAAGGACCACGCAACACTGGAGTAATGGCTACTGAAAATTCAGCCATCATAGACATCACATGAAAAAATATATATTTTAAAATATATTAAGTTATTTTTAAACATGGTAATTAATTTTCCACAATATTAGGTTTATTGTTTTTTTATCAGATAATTGCAGCCCTGATGAGCATGAGACTTCTTTCAAAAAAACGTTAAAGAGATCTTATAATGAAAAAGCAATTTGTAGCTCAGCTACAGTAGGCCTCGACATCCCTCCAAAAGTTATGTTCCCCTTTTCATTTTCAGTTACGTATGGTTGGATTATTAGAACGGATAGATGAAGACTGTAGCTCATCAATGCAAAACCCTGCTGTAGCTTGATTTTAACTGTGCATGTAAATGTACTTAACAGCAGCCAATCAAAGCATCTCATTTCAATATATGCTTATGCCAAATCTGAGGAATTTCCCCGACCCTAGCTATCATGCTTCAGTCATGATACATGAGCCGTCTTGACTCCATGCTTTCTCAGGAGGGCATCTGCCAGACAGGTAGACAACCATTACGTCAAATTATAGTAAACACTCACAAAAAGAGGAACAATATATAGACAGTCTTAAGAACAGTATTTATTCATGTTTTATTTTTTATTTCAAAAGCATTCTTAAATATGCTTTTTATTACAAAAATGCTTTGCATTTCTTAGTAAGTAGAAATATGTTTCTCCACATGGCAAGAGAACAATTGCCTGTTCAAAGTCTATGTGAAAAAATGACATCTCTCTTTTCTAGAATGATGAATGCTTACAGCCTTTGGCACAATATGACTCTTGTTGAAATCAGACTGTGTATCCAGTCTGTGCAACCTCAAATGGGGAGATTTCTCAAAAGACTGCTCTGAGGTTAAGTCTTAATTGCTTTCTAAACCTTTAGTGAACTGGAACAGGATCTCATGAGCTGCATTTTTGCTTGAGTAGGGTAATGTACCACATCCTTTGTAGAATTCGTTCTCAGATTTATTTTAAATGCTACATTCTCAAACCTGATGTTCCTTTATTTATTTATTGAATTTTACTTCGTGCAATAACTGTTTGTACCGCTTCTCTGTTCAATAAACTCATGTGTTACAGGTCAAACGACATGACTCCTTTGCCTTACAAGTTTTCTTGTCACACATTATGTTGACTATCACTAGCAAAGAGAACAAAAAGATTATCGTGATCCCTTATAGAAACACATCCCTGTGCATTTTACTAAGCACTTCAAACTCAGCCCATTGATTCAAACTTCAGAAGAAAAAAAAACTAATTTTCAATCTGAAAGAATAATAGGTCTATGTAATAGACCAGAGTGTAATTTCAATGCATATTGAACATGTATAAGTGAGGAGCTACATTAAACTTCAGGTGCTATTTCTGCTTTTAGCTCTCAAAGAATGTGCATTGTGCTGTTGTTAATGTAAAAGTTTTAGGAAGGGATCATGCCCTTGTTCCTCTTCCTGTCAGCCATCATTCTGCGATTGGCTCCTCTGTTCTTATTCGCTTCTTTTCTGCGACGGTCCAAAATGATCTCCTGTGTCTGGCCCCGTCCCTTTGGCCCTCCTACCACATTACTTGCTGGTGGTGGTCTGTAGCTATCATGAAAAACCAAGTCAAATCAATTAATGACTGACTGATAAATGTTTTTAGGTTAGTTAGATAATAACCAGTGCACATGTGCAGTGTAACTATATTCCAGTAGGGATGTAACAATTCACTCAACCCACAATGCGATACGATTCACGATACTGGTTTCATGATATGATTTTCATGATAAGATTTAAGGCAAATTATAAATGAGAAAGTGTCTTTTTATTATTTCTCAGACAAAATGCTGCATATTTCCTTGTGAAATTGAAATATCTTTTATGTTAAAACTAAATTGACATTTTAAAACAAATCCTAAATCAAAGGAATAATACATAAAATAAATCTCTTCATATAAGTACATGAACAAGATGTTTATTTGCTCTATTAAAGCTGATATAGCTGTAGCTATTTAAAATTAGAGGCAACCACTGCATTTTAATCACAATCTCAACAAAAATACATACATGCAGCATGAGCAGCTTTTGATTTAAATTAGATTGTATAATTTCAAAACATGAAACAAAAACAGAATGGTCTGACTTTAGCTGAAAAGAAAATACCATCTAAATTTTTCTGAAAACAGTCAGTTCCCCTCGGAGATACATTCATATAAACCCCCGCCACAAACTGTATCGCGATTCATTTAGCATTTCTACCAACTTGAATCATCACATGTTTTAATTGATTTTGAACTGGTTCGGGGTGCATCGTTACATCCCTATATTCCAGTCATGGTGTTCTCAAATTTACCCTTTCCTGCTTTGTAAAGCAGCTCTCCTGGCCTCGGCTCTCTCTCTCTGAGAACTGCTGGGTCCTGGATGAAGTGATCATTTTTCACAGCCTCATTCTGATCAAAATAACACAAGAGCATCGTAAATAAACAGAAATGTGCATGATCTGATAACCTGACATTGTGATTTGTTTCAAATCCGTCTAATTTCTATTAACAGGGAAAGAGAAAAAGAAAAAGGGCAGGTACTGAAAGCGCCATGTGATCTATAACAAAACAATAGACCTGCGTAAGGGACCAAAATTCATTTAAAACAAAAAAGAGAAAGGGACTCGTTCAAACCTTGTCCTCTTCCTCCTCATCCTTGTCTTCGTCATTCTCCTGAGCTTGTTTGCCTGTTCTGAGAACTTGTGGGGTAGTAAACGGCCTAAAGGAAAAATACTTCAATGTTAACTTAGACGTATATATCAATATGATTGCAATAATAATGATTATTATTACTATAAAAAATACTAATATTTATGACTATATTCTTCATTTTCATTTTCCCTTTTTTTGAGGGAAAACCGATAAGCCATATTGCGATTTTGGTTTTATTTTGATTAATAGAACAGCCCTAATATAAATTTAATATTTGCAATGCATTTCCCGTTCCTCCATTCAAAGATGTACAAAACAATTTAACAAAATGGTCTTTGAAAACCCATACTGATCAGCCACATTGGAGGGAGATGCAAGTTTATGTACATTTGTCACCGCTCATACCTGCGGTTCAATAGTTCATCCTCTTCATCTAAATCATTGGCTCCAATTTGGTTGGTATCATACGTGTCATCATATTCATCATCATAATCATCCATCCCGAAAGCATTATCACGATTTCCAGAGGGGCCATTCGCTATGGGAATCTCATCCACCACTGTCTGGTAGGCTTGATATCTCGCTCTCTGCTCTTCGATGTGCTGCTTGTCATTGAGCGTGGCACACAAACTCTCCCCCTGTCTGAAATACGCAGAGACATTAATTTTTAGCTGACACAAACCATCTTTTACAGCTTCAGCTGAATATTTCATAAGCCCATTTTCATGTGGTTCTCTGATGTCAGTTTACGCTGTACTTGTCAAAGACTATTTTCTTTTGACCAAGTGGATTAGCATGAATATTTAGCAGCTTGTTTGACTATCAGACTAATCAGACTAAAATTAGAGTAATGTACTGCAGGGCAGGATAGGGTAATGCTTTTTAAGTGGAATTTTAACTTGCGATCACCTCCGGCCTTTCCAAACGCAACTCATGTCTAGTCGGTCACGGTTGAACACGTCAAAGTCGTCATCGTCAAACACGTTTGATCTAGTGCTCAAAACTGATGGAAGCTCATTCTTCACAGGCCTACAGGGAAACATTAGTCAGTAAGCAACAATGAAGTGGACCTGAACTGAACCATAAATCCTAGCTAGCAAGTCACTTCAGTTGGACTTCACCTTGCCATTTCCCTGTCCAGTTTGTCAAGAGAAGGAAACAGTTTATCTTCCAGAATGTTGTTGATGACAAGTTCAGAAATGTAGCCGTACTCCTCCAAACATGCCAGTATGAATCCCTCTCCCAAGTCCGGAAACAGGTCACGGATATGGGACAGCAGAGACTCTAGTTCTCCAGCACTCAATGTGCACACTACCCCCTACAGGCCCCAAAAATAAGAGGGTAAAAAATTACCTTAATTTTACCAGAGGGTGATAAAAACACATTTTTAACACTTTTGTAGATATTTTTAGCAGCTAATGACCTCACGTTGTCACCCTTACGGGGTATGTCAGTCATAGCTTCCGCTCTTCTCAACTCCTCTCTGTCTTCCAACACTCCTGCTCCTTCCTTCTGGGAAACTGCTAAATCTCTGCCAGTCTTGCGCTTGGCTCCTGCGCTGTGATTGACTGAAGAGGGGAAGCATCTCTTTTTCCCCACACACTCCCAAAAAGACTCTACACCCTGCAACAGATAAGACATCCTGGTGTCGTCTCTTGAGTGGACAGATCAAGGAGAATAGCAGAAAATCATAGAGAGAAGCTTAAAAATGTAGAAAAGAGGCATTATTCTGATTCTCTGTGACAAGGCAAGATTTTAAAGATAAAGGCAGAATGTGCTTTGTGGTTCTCTACTTGCACAACAGCCTAAATTGGCAGTGATTGACAGCATAATGTTCTGCTGCCAGTGTTTCTTTGCATGACAACGTTAATGAAATGAACTTTGTGCATGCATGGTAGGTATCGGATATTGTTATTAGAGGAAATGAGCACCAGTATTGGTATCAGTGCACCACTAATTATGTATTAGTGTAGTATATAGTATATGTGTAGGAAAACAATTAGAAATTAGGACAGGTTATTTCTTGAATCATTAAGGTCATCTACTCTAACAGAAGCTTGAAAGATGTCAGAATGCTTTCCCTTTTATTCCTTTCAAAATCATCATATAGTGTTCCACTGGACCACAGTGAAAGATACAAATGAGGGAAGGCCTGCTGAAGGAGACTGATGTCATCCGCTATAGGGAACTGTTCATCATAATCTGCCAGGAATCTGAGCAATAAAGAGACAAACAGTGCAAGGAGAATGCAATTTAGTCATTGGCTGTGATAAACTACATATACAACCATGACCTTGCAGAGGCATTTCTGCATGATTTACCTTTTCTCTTGAAGGAAAGCTGTGAAGTTCTGTAGAAGATCTTCTACGTAGGATACCATGTTTTCAGAGCTGTGAAAATCAATTAAACTTAAGATCAAAGACATCTGGTATTCGTTCCCATCTTTGCTTATTTAATGTGGTTTAAAAGCATGTATTTTTCCTCACCCCTCCAGAATGGGCTGTAAACGTGTGTTGGAGCAACAGGTGAACACTCTCTACCATTTTCTTTCTTGAATGAGATATTCGTCTCCACATGTCCTCCTGTAAACTGAGACAGATTGCATCTAGTGCATCTATCACGAAAAAATGTGTTGAGTGTAAGAGAACACGTCAAGTGTTTCATCAAGTTTGCCATTCTAACCTTTTATTGAAATTTCTCTTCTTCACTGCTTTCTTCAGGTCTGGAACTGCCATCTCATAGAATGACGATAATCTACATTAAGAGACGCACCATTCATTGTTTTTGTATCAGGAATATCAGGTATGGAATTCTGCCCTTGAGGACACTGTGAATCATAGTTTGGATGGTGTGGGTGTACTGTATTGGTCACCTGTTAAGAAAGTTGTGTTGTTTGAAGGTAGAACAAGCCTCAGGGAAGGTGTCCAGGAAAGAGTGGATAGTAGTGCAAGTATCACACATGTACAAAACCAAGTCTGCTAGCTCCTATGAGACATAATACATATATAAATATAAGCATATTATTTCTGCCTGTCAGGACACTGTGTGATTTAAAGGTAGTATGTGTCCGTATGTGTCTTTGTATTTGTAAAAATGGTTAAGAAAGTTTCATTTTGGTTACCTCCTCTGGAATGGCCATGGCAGTTAGGCATTTGTTTGCATTCAGTTTGAGGGGTTGACTGTTTCCTGTGTCCTCTGACTGAATACCACACTTCTGTAATATCATATCAAACACCTAGAATGTACACACACACACACACACACAGATTTTCTGGAAGTTCGGCACAATTAGATGAATCAACACATTTAGAAACATCTCATGATAACAATAACTACCTGGATGATTGAAGGTATAGTCTCATTTAGGTCTCCATAATAATTGGGCTGTTGAGTAAAAATGTTCTCTGGAAAAAGTGAAAAGTATGCAATTTTAGTGTTAAATATGGAAACCATTGTGAGTGATTTAAAAAATCAGATGGGTTCGTGAGGTATTTATGTATTTTTTGTGAATTATATATATGTACCATAATACTATCAGATTTTGTGTACCGATCATTTTATGTAGCAGTTGGGAATTTCCTTTCCCAAACAGCACACACAGATCCAGAATTTTGGGAATGTCAAATAGGTAGTTGTTGTAAATAATCTCTGCAAACACTGCAGGGGTTATGAAGTTCTCCTGAGGAAAAAACAAATGATTTTGAATACCACTGAATACCAAATATATTGCAATCATATGAATTTAATGTCATTTAATACAAAACCACCAGCTTACATTTATAGTAATTATAAAAGGTTTGGGGTCAGTGATACAGTAGTTTTCTTTGGAAAGAATGAATGCTTTCATTCAGCAAGGATGCATTAAATTGATCAAAAGTGACAGTAAAGATTTTTTTTTAATGTTACAGAAGATTTATATTTTAAATCAAAGCTGTTCTCTTAAACTTTTTTTTATTTATCAAAAAATCCTAAAGCTGTATCTTGGTTTCAACAAAAATATTAACCAGCACAACTGTTTTCAATGTTACTTGGGCACTAATCAGCATATTAGAATTATTCATTAAACAATATAATTTATTTAAAAAAGAGTTTATGGGAGTTCAGGAGTGTATGTTTACCTTAGACTCTTTGTGCGTAGCCATCCTGAGGAAGATCACAAAGCGATGAATGTTCCTCTGCATGTCAGCTACAGCTGGACTGGACGAGAGACCAGATGGGTCCAAACCACGCGGAGCGTGTCTCAAATAAGAGTCCAAACACCTCTGTAATGACTCATCAAATACCACCTAAATGGAGAAAGAATAAAAAAGAAACAATATGGCATCTGCCTGGCTGCATGTCATATTATATAATGTAATGGTCGAAAAACAACATTATTATTTTGTTGTACTGTATCTTCATTACTAGCAGATTTATTTTCTTCATCAAGAGAAGTATAACTTCATTTTACTCAAATCTCCATAAACAACTTATTCGTATTTTAGAGAGTCTAACCTGACACCAGAACTTGTCATGAGGTAAAGCCAGCAGCCACTCCAGATCCTCTGAGATGAACTGAGCATGCTCCAGAAACTCTTCCACCAGCACAGGTGTGCCATCCTCAGGTGGGGGTTTATAGGTTAAGAAACGCCTCTCTTCTTTATGGTCAGGGTGCTGATGGGAGACATTAAGGTGGCATCATCATTCATGTAGCTCATAGAAGTACTGGACTAGAGTGATGGTTCAGATCTACTCTAGTTAATTATGCAGGAAAAAGACATGCTGGTAGGGTGCGTTCTTTGCCTTGTGGTCCAAAGGGCTCAGTCACATGCAGCTCATCTAAAGGCACTTCTGCACATGCCATTTCACCTGCCCAGGTAGGAACAGACTTGCCCTGAGGAAGATGGCCAATGTTAATAACATCTAATAAGACATATTTAATCATTTTATTTGTCTGCATTGTGTGTAAATCATAATTAATTGGTGGTTTGAGAGATGTTATTAGTTCTGGTTTATGCTTAGTCGTAGTTGTTACCATTTTGATTGACAGATTCACGGTCTGTGAGGGCCTGTATTCTCTAATTGATTTTAGGCTCGTTACATGTGCTGCTGTCTATCTGTAAGATACAGTAATAGTGACCTGGCTAATGCTGCCCGTTTCAGTGAGCTCAACATCTTTATTAAACACAACACGACGAACAACAACAGTTTTCATCATCTGCAAATGATTTTAGTAAAAGACAGACATCAATAAAGACAGCACAATTTTGTTGACTGTTGCTGAATTTGAGGCAGAAATCCACAGTGAGGTGGAAACTAAGAAAACAGGTAGCTTTCTTGCGTTTAAATAGCAAATGACATTGTTCATCTTAACAACACGGAATAAAAAAATAACGTCTATTGAAAATCAAGTGATAAAAATGTCACCTCTCCACTGAGTCTTTCAACAGCATCACATCTATCTGCGTGGATATCCGGTGTGCTCGAGCAGACGTCATTTCAAAATAAAAGTCCTTAAAATAAAAATTGTTCTTATATCGCTGTTGGTCGACGTTTAACCAGTGAATATACATGAATATAAATATAAACTCCGTAGAACTTACAATGTCGTTACATTTTTATTGATTCATTTCTAAATCTATAACTAACCATGTAAGCGATGTTTGATGTACTAATTAGGTCATGTTTTTAAAGAAAGCTGTTGCAGTGTTACAAAACGATGTCCCCTGAACGCGAATTTGCGATCGCGTTCTAACTAACTCCAAACATTTCCCAATTTAGTTATTTATTATTAGCATGAAAGAGCACTGTAAATTTACAATGCCAAACAGGCAGCAAAACTACAGACAAGGAATAGCCTACATTTGCATTGTTGAATGATGAAGAAGCAAACTTTGAAAATAGTCAGGAGAGGTACTGCGACAAAAAAAAGAAGCATTAGTTTTCACTTTATAATACCGCTCATATCAAACAACCTCAAAGTTTTTAGAGATTAATACTTTACATAAAAAATGTTTTGTTCAGTAGACAGCTTCACTGTAAATTTGCTGGAGGCTTTCAAATACTGCTGCATATATAAATTCTTATTTATTGCGCACGTTGTGATTTGTCCAGTTTATTGGCTGCGCAATAATTAAGTAACTTCATAATAGTTAATAGAAAGTGTATGACTGTCTTACTTGTAACATTTGTTTCCACGCGGTATTTTGTGAAACGCTGATCGAAGCTGTTCAGAGGAATAAGCTTTACGACACAAATTCCTTTAGTTACATTCACTTATTTCTTTTCATTAGTTCATGTGAACGTTGTTTTGTCCAGTTTATTGTCTGAACAACGATTAAAGGAACGCATCATTTGACGTAACACCGTTGAATAAAAAAGAATTAGGAAGGATAAAATAAAGATGAAAAATATTACAAAGGCAATTCTGGTCACGCGACTATTTACACCACACGTGCAAAAATGTTTATAAGAAATCAAGAGTCTGCGTGGCCTGTTGAAAAAACCAGCATATGCTGGTTAGGAATGTTTTGATGCTGGTCCTTTGCCTAAACCAGCAAAAGGACCAGCATAAACCAGCAAAATGACCAGCATAAACGAGCAAAGGACCAGCTTAAACCAACAAAGGACCAACTTAAACCAGCAAAAGGACCAGCATAAACCAGCAAAGGACCAGCTTAAACCAGCAAAGGACCATCATAAACCAGCAAAGGACCATCATAAACCAGCAAAATGACCAGCATAAACCAGCAAAGGACCAGCTTAAACCAGCAAAAGGACCAGTTTAAACCAGCAAAAGGACCAGCATAAACCAGCAAAGGACCAGCATAAACCAGCAAAAGGACAAGCATAAACCAGTCAAAGGACCAGCTTAAACCAGTCAAAGGACCAGCTTAAACCAGTAAAAGGACCAGCTTAAACCTGCAAAAGGGCCAGCTTAAACCAGTAAAAGGTCCAGCTTAAACCAGCAAAGGGCCAGCTTAAACCAGTAAAAGGTCCAGCTTAAACCAGCAAAGGGCCAGCTTAAACCAGTAAAAGGTCCAGCTTAAACCAGCAAAGGGCCAGCTTAAACCAGTAAAAGGTCCAGCTTAAACCAGCAAAGGGCCAGCTTAAACCAGTAAAAGGTCCAGCTTAAACCAGCAAAGGGCCAGCTTAAACCAGTAAAAGGTCCAGCTTAAACCAGCAAAGGGCCAGCTTAAACCAGTAAAAGGTCCAGCTTAAACCAGCAAAGGGCCAGCTTAAACCAGTAAAAGGTCCAGCTTAAACCAGCAAAGGGCCAGCTTAAACCAGTAAAAGGTCCAGCTTAAACCAGCAAAGGGCCAGCTTAAACCAGTAAAAGGTCCAGCTTAAACCAGCAAAGGGCCAGCTTAAACCAGTAAAAGGTCCAGCTTAAACCAGCAAAGGGCCAGCTTAAACCAGTAAAAGGTCCAGCTTAAACCAGCAAAGGGCCAGCTTAAACCAGTAAAAGGTCCAGCTTAAACCAGCAAAGGGCCAGCTTAAACCAGTAAAAGGTCCAGCTTAAACCAGCAAAGGGCCAGCTTAAACCAGTAAAAGGTCCAGCTTAAACCAGCAAAGGGCCAGCTTAAACCAGTAAAAGGTCCAGCTTAAACCAGCAAAGGGCCAGCTTAAACCAGTAAAAGGTCCAGCTTAAACCAGCAAAGGGCCAGCTTAAACCAGTAAAAGGTCCAGCTTAAACCAGCAAAGGGCCAGCTTAAACCAGTAAAAGGTCCAGCTTAAACCAGCAAAGGGCCAGCTTAAACCAGTAAAAGGTCCAGCTTAAACCAGCAAAGGGCCAGCTTAAACCAGTAAAAGGTCCAGCTTAAACCAGCAAAGGGCCAGCTTAAACCAGTAAAAGGTCCAGCTTAAACCAGCAAAGGGCCAGCTTAAACCAGTAAAAGGTCCAGCTTAAACCAGCAAAGGGCCAGCTTAAACCAGTAAAAGGTCCAGCTTAAACCAGCAAAGGGCCAGCTTAAACCAGTAAAAGGTCCAGCTTAAACCAGCAAAGGGCCAGCTTAAACCAGTAAAAGGTCCAGCTTAAACCAGCAAAGGGCCAGCTTAAACCAGTAAAAGGTCCAGCTTAAACCAGCAAAGGGCCAGCTTAAACCAGTAAAAGGTCCAGCTTAAACCAGCAAAGGGCCAGCTTAAACCAGTAAAAGGTCCAGCTTAAACCAGCAAAGGGCCAGCTTAAACCAGTAAAAGGTCCAGCTTAAACCAGCAAAGGGCCAGCTTAAACCAGTAAAAGGTCCAGCTTAAACCAGCAAAGGGCCAGCTTAAACCAGTAAAAGGTCCAGCTTAAACCAGCAAAGGGCCAGCTTAAACCAGTAAAAGGTCCAGCTTAAACCAGCAAAGGGCCAGCTTAAACCAGTAAAAGGTCCAGCTTAAACCAGCAAAGGGCCAGCTTAAACCAGTAAAAGGTCCAGCTTAAACCAGCAAAGGGCCAGCTTAAACCAGTAAAAGGTCCAGCTTAAACCAGCAAAGGGCCAGCTTAAACCAGTAAAAGGTCCAGCTTAAACCAGCAAAGGGCCAGCTTAAACCAGTAAAAGGTCCAGCTTAAACCAGCAAAGGGCCAGCTTAAACCAGTAAAAGGTCCAGCTTAAACCAGCAAAGGGCCAGCTTAAACCAGTAAAAGGTCCAGCTTAAACCAGCAAAGGGCCAGCTTAAACCAGTAAAAGGTCCAGCTTAAACCAGCAAAGGGCCAGCTTAAACCAGTAAAAGGTCCAGCTTAAACCAGCAAAGGGCCAGCTTAAACCAGTAAAAGGTCCAGCTTAAACCAGCAAAGGGCCAGCTTAAACCAGTAAAAGGTCCAGCTTAAACCAGCAAAGGGCCAGCTTAAACCAGTAAAAGGTCCAGCTTAAACCAGCAAAGGGCCAGCTTAAACCAGTAAAAGGTCCAGCTTAAACCAGCAAAGGGCCAGCTTAAACCAGTAAAAGGTCCAGCTTAAACCAGCAAAGGGCCAGCTTAAACCAGTAAAAGGTCCAGCTTAAACCAGCAAAGGGCCAGCTTAAACCAGTAAAAGGTCCAGCTTAAACCAGCAAAGGGCCAGCTTAAACCAGTAAAAGGTCCAGCTTAAACCAGCAAAGGGCCAGCTTAAACCAGTAAAAGGTCCAGCTTAAACCAGCAAAGGGCCAGCTTAAACCAGTAAAAGGTCCAGCTTAAACCAGCAAAGGGCCAGCTTAAACCAGTAAAAGGTCCAGCTTAAACCAGCAAAGGGCCAGCTTAAACCAGTAAAAGGTCCAGCTTAAACCAGCAAAGGGCCAGCTTAAACCAGTAAAAGGTCCAGCTTAAACCAGCAAAGGGCCAGCTTAAACCAGTAAAAGGTCCAGCTTAAACCAGCAAAGGGCCAGCTTAAACCAGTAAAAGGTCCAGCTTAAACCAGCAAAGGGCCAGCTTAAACCAGTAAAAGGTCCAGCTTAAACCAGCAAAGGGCCAGCTTAAACCAGTAAAAGGTCCAGCTTAAACCAGCAAAGGGCCAGCTTAAACCAGTAAAAGGTCCAGCTTAAACCAGCAAAGGGCCAGCTTAAACCAGTAAAAGGTCCAGCTTAAACCAGCAAAGGGCCAGCTTAAACCAGTAAAAGGTCCAGCTTAAACCAGCAAAGGGCCAGCTTAAACCAGTAAAAGGTCCAGCTTAAACCAGCAAAGGGCCAGCTTAAACCAGTAAAAGGTCCAGCTTAAACCAGCAAAGGGCCAGCTTAAACCAGTAAAAGGTCCAGCTTAAACCAGCAAAGGGCCAGCTTAAACCAGTAAAAGGTCCAGCTTAAACCAGCAAAGGGCCAGCTTAAACCAGTAAAAGGTCCAGCTTAAACCAGCAAAGGGCCAGCTTAAACCAGTAAAAGGTCCAGCTTAAACCAGCAAAGGGCCAGCTTAAACCAGTAAAAGGTCCAGCTTAAACCAGCAAAGGGCCAGCTTAAACCAGTAAAAGGTCCAGCTTAAACCAGCAAAGGGCCAGCTTAAACCAGTAAAAGGTCCAGCTTAAACCAGCAAAGGGCCAGCTTAAACCAGTAAAAGGTCCAGCTTAAACCAGCAAAGGGCCAGCTTAAACCAGTAAAAGGTCCAGCTTAAACCAGCAAAGGGCCAGCTTAAACCAGTAAAAGGTCCAGCTTAAACCAGCAAAGGGCCAGCTTAAACCAGTAAAAGGTCCAGCTTAAACCAGCAAAGGGCCAGCTTAAACCAGTAAAAGGTCCAGCTTAAACCAGCAAAGGGCCAGCTTAAACCAGTAAAAGGTCCAGCTTAAACCAGCAAAGGGCCAGCTTAAACCAGTAAAAGGTCCAGCTTAAACCAGCAAAGGGCCAGCTTAAACCAGTAAAAGGTCCAGCTTAAACCAGCAAAGGGCCAGCTTAAACCAGTAAAAGGTCCAGCTTAAACCAGCAAAGGGCCAGCTTAAACCAGTAAAAGGTCCAGCTTAAACCAGCAAAGGGCCAGCTTAAACCAGTAAAAGGTCCAGCTTAAACCAGCAAAGGGCCAGCTTAAACCAGTAAAAGGTCCAGCTTA